AAGGTTTTCTGTACTTTAACTATTGCTAGCCATGTTTTAATCTTAAATATGTGTCTATACATTAGGAAAATATTATCAAGTAAATTACAATAAATCTGTGTAGAAAACTTTACCCCCCCAAGTACAATGTCCTCTTATATCTGTACTTCTCAATACTTAATTAAAAATAATTTAAAACTGTAGTCAAGAAAAAAACAGACAGAGATCAATGAAACTGTGTACAGAGCTCCCAAATAAACCCACACTTACACTAACGCTCAATAAAATTGCAAAGAATGCACAAAGAAGAAAGAATAGTTTCTTTGATAAATGGTATTGGGAAAAAACTATATTCAGATGCAAAGATAAAATTAGAGTGTTATTATATCATATCAAAAAAATTAAAGTCTTAAATACAAGATTTGAAAGTATGAAACTTCTAGAAGAAAACATTTGGAAAAACTCTTTGGCATTGATTTTGGTGATGGCTTCTTGTGGTGTGATACCAAATGCTCAGGCCACAAAAACAAAAACTCACAAGTGAAACTACAGAGCTGAGTAAATTGAAACCCTCCAAATCACTTTCCGGTCTGTGGAATGAAGGAGAAAGCATCTATTTCATGGAAGTGGCCTTTGAATTGTATACAAAATAAAAGCGTAATGCCTGGCTCACTGTATGTGCTCAATGACTCTGTTATAATTGCTATAGTCACTTTTATAATTCTCACTGTGGATCCCATTTCATCATCTCATGGGTGAATAATAACAATGCTTATAAATGATCTTCTTATTTACAGTCCTATTCCTTGAACTCATCCTTTGAATTGTAGCCATCATCTGTCTTCCCAGCCTCAACAATATAAACTCTGTAAGGACAGTGACCTTGTGTGTTCTTGGCTTTGTACTCTCTGTCTGGCACAGAGCCTAGCAGGTAGTAAGTACTTAATAAATACTTGTTCAATGAATGAATAAAAAACATTCCATTACTGTCCAAGCACCTACCATCTCTACAATTTATTTCATTCTATAAAATTGAAGCTGTTCTATAATAGTTTTTTATGACTGCAGCATCTCTACCTTTTTATCTTCTTCCATATATCAGAAAACAATAATTTGTAACATATTTTTCAGACTTTCTCTGTAGCACATTTCCTTGTCACGGCCTGACAATGTGATTTGGAAGGTGGAGGAGAGGAGAAAGGAATAGCTGAAGCCAAACATTCTCTCAGCCAGAACTTCTTAAATCTGTAGCTAAGAAACTAGTCACAGGCTGATGCTGGTCTCACGAGCTCCATTATTGCATTCTGTGGAGACTGAGCTCCCAAAGCCAGACAGCTAACCCTCCAGGGAGGTGGGAAGTCCTCCCAGCTAGACCTGCCCTGGTGTAGCATTTGCATAGCTCATTTGCCCCATTTGCATAGCTGGTCACCTTGTCTCAAAGCCCACGGAAATGTGGGAGAGAGAACATCAATTTCACATCAATCTGTAGGATTCTAGCATAAGTTCTAGTAGTTCTTCTGTCTGAGTTATGCAGTCTCTTTTCAATTATTTTGAAACTCAGAAACACCCTATT